AAGACGTTGGGGTTTTAACAACTTGACACCATGTAAAAAAATATTTTGAAAAAAGTCAATACTTTTTGAAATAATGAGTGTTTTATGATAAATCAATCACCCTGTATATTGCGAATGCTATACTAGCGCGTAAATATTAAACACAATCATTATCTTCTGCCCTTCTATAATTGTTAATTCTGTTTAAATTCAAAATAGGTTTATTGTGAATTATTTGTACAGTGTATTTTTAATGTTATGAAATATAGTTAACATTCAATGAATAATGCTCCTAATTCTTAACATACCTTGCAGAGTTAAAAGTAAGTTCTATTTAAAAAAAAAAAAAAATTGAAATTTCAGAAATGTCTCTTGTATGACCTATAATTCTGCTACTGCTCTGATTACCGTCGTAACATTCGTAACTAGAGCGATCTTGTTAGTGTGTGGTTGTAACGGTGGGGTTCGCAAACTTTATACACAGTACGAATAACCTGCAGAGATATGATTTACTAAATCTGTGTTATCACGTAACATCTGAGCTAAATATTATATCGTAAATGTATAATAGCTGTATAAAACTCAACGACGTAACTCCGTGGGGTACTTCCTACGAAAACATTTTGCCCACTACTTTATGTTTATGCATGTAAAGTGATATTCGCTTCCGCCACAGTTTACGCCGACGTGGCTGATTATCAAAACAATAACAAAATTAATATTATAATATTGTACCTTAGTTATACTATTCATAATATTATGATATAACCATAGCGCAAAACACGACGAATTTCTCGATGAAATATGTGCAAGGTTTATTGTAACCTACGAAATTCGTCACTTTATTATCTTCGGTCGTGGATTAGGCCCGCCGTTGTTTTTTTATTTTACGTGTTTTGAATCGTTTATTACCTATATATGATCAGTATTTGTCGAATTTTCAAAAACGACTGGCCTGAACCAGTTGCCATGCAGATACGTCGATATACATATAATTACGATTTTTTATTGTTGTCGTGCAACGAACACAATTTTGGCGGACTTTCAGCTTTTCAGGTCATATGCACGTTTCAATTGAACCATATCGAATAGGAAAAAMTAATTAAARGACCTATCAATCCTATGATTTAAAAACCACATTCTAAATGCGAAACTGTGGAGGTTATAAACAATATTTCAACT